GCTGCACAGCCAGGGTGGGGCGCGGGACTGAGCTGCATGGGATGTGGCTCCCACAGCTATGTGTACCCTGGGAGGGCATGGGGGGGGTGTGCCTCCATATCTACGTGCAGGGTAGGACAGGCTGGGGGCTGGGCCGGGCTGCACTTGGGGCGGCTGGTGGTAGTGCTTGAAGACAAGTTTGGGGGGGCTACAGCAAATTCTGGGTTGGCTGCAGCCCCTCCCATAGCCCCCCTTCCCGCACACGGCATTTATCAGCCACATTAGGTCTGCGTACCCCCTAGGACCTTTTTAAGTACCCCTAGCACTACATGTACCCCAGCTGACAGCCACTGCCCTATGTTACTGTTATTGTTGCGACTAGTTTGTATAGTTAACTTTAAACGAGTAAGTTTAGGTATACTAGCAGTGCAATTGTGAAAGAATGAAACTCTGCACAGACTACAAAATCCACTAGAAAAATATTCAGACAAGTGCTAAACTCTGCTACTGCTGCTACAATCCTAGTGTCTGGCCTAGTTAGTTTAAATCTAGTACATGTATACCTATCCAAGCTGCAGTTCTGATCCCTTCCTTAGAATAGCATCTTCTAGGTATGTCCATTAGGGGTGTGTGAAACAGGCCTTATTCAATTTGAATTCTGCTCAAATCAGGGACAGTGATTCAATTTGTTGATTTGGATACCTGCCCTGATTTGATATGGCTGAATCTGAAGATTCAATGCTGATTCGGAGAATCGGGGATTCAGCTATAGACACAGCTTTAAATGTTTTTTCTACATGCCTTGAGGTACTAGGCGTGGCTCATGAGAACTGTGATGGTGGGGTGGATGGAGCATCCCACAGGAGTATGGCTGGGACCCCCATGTGATTGGTGGGAAATCTGGAACTGGACTGGTCTGTCTCTGAGTGCACAGGGGGGCCCCCTGCACCCCCCAGCTTGGCGATCAGCTTCAGGGGGACCCCAGGGCCCCCCCCAGACCCAGGAGAAGACACCAGTTGCCAAGCTGGGAGGAGTGTGTGTGTGGGGGGGCCCTGGTCCACTCCCTGGCAGACCCGGAAGTGGATTAGAAGTGCTTCTGGGCCACTTCTGGGTCTGCTGCTGACCGCGCTGGGGACCCCTCCCTCACTCCTGTGGGATGCTCCATCTGCCCCACCATCTCAGCATTCATGAACTGCTTGGTACCTTGAGGTATGCAGAGAAACATTTAAAGCTGCGTCTACATCTGAATCTCTGAATCTTTCTGAATCTCTCTGAATCGATTTGGAAGGTTCCGATTCGATTCAGGGAGATTAAAGGGTCTCCTGATTTGATTTGGATTTGGAGATTTGACCACCAAATCGGGCCGAATCTCCGCCAAATTGAATCAGTGAATGCAGCTGTCCACAGCCCTAATGTCTATTTCTTTGACAGTTTTTTAAGTGTGTCGCCCGGCCTGGACCCGGGATCGGGCCCCCTGCAGCGCTTCGGGTTGACATTCACTCGCAGAGGGCTCCCCGGGCCCAGGCCAGCCGCCCCTCACCGAGGTCGCTGGGCACCGACCCCAGGACCCCGCACACCTGCTGGGGTCCTCCCAGCCGCCCCCAGCCTGCCCAGGTCTGGGGCAGGTCAGCGGGATGAAGCCACAATTGTGCGTGGGCTCCTGGAACTCTCGCGTGGCCTGGCCTGCTGGCTCAGTTCCCTTACAGAGCTCTGGGTTGACATTTGCTCACAGAGGGTTTCCCAGACCCCTGCCACCTCGGCCCAGGCTAGCCGCCCCTCGCTGGGGTTGCTGGGCATCGACCCCAGGGCCCTGCATGCCTGCCGGGGCCCGCTGAGCCGCCCCCAGCCTGCCCGGCTCCAGGGCAGGTCAGCGGGACGAAGCCGGAATTGTGCCCCGGCTCCTGGAACTCTCGCGCGGCCTGGCCTGTTGGCGTGGTCCCCCTCCGGAGCTCTGGGTTGACATTCGCTCATGGAGGGCTTCCCAGGCCCCTGCCGCCTCGGCCCGGGCCAGCCGCCTGCCTCAGGGGTCCGTAAACACTCGCCCCTATATATCTCCGCAAAAGTTTCCTAGAAATATTGTGGATGTGGCACCCGGCCCCGTCACCGGGACAAACCACCAAAAATGTCCACCCTCCTAGATCGAAGGGTTGGACACCACGTTCAAAAATGACCCCTTACGGACTTCCAGGAGGAGGTCTGGCACAATGTCAACCCCATGTATTCCTATGGGGACTTGCAGGCACATTGTCAACCCAATGTATTCCTATGGGAATTTTCCTCTTCTGTCCTGTTTGCCAAGTTCCTTCCATTCTCTTTTTATGCATCATATAATCTGCTGAGCATGGTTTTGTTTAATAATTCTGTTTTGATAACTCTTCAATATGACATTTTGCCTACTGGACCAATGCACATCCTGCCCAGCCTACATCATACACCATAAGGGCCAGGGTCATGTATTTCCAGTACAGCTGATCTGGTGGGAGTTTGCATGCTACTGGCACAGCCCAGGCAGCAGAGGTGTGGGGCCTCTGGCACAGCCTGTGTGGCAAGGGGATCCCAGGGCACTGTCCCTGAAGCATCTGGCCCCCAGCTGTGCCAAAGTTATCATTTCAAGAAACTCTGATTCTAGTTTTCTAGATTGACTATCCAGTTCTGTGTGATGGCTGACTTTAAAACTATAGCAGTAAAATATCTATTTTGAATATAATTTTTACTCAATTTAAGCAATTAATAGATTACCATGTTTACTTTATTCTAAGATGAAGTTTGTTTCCTCCATTTAACATGGGGGGGGGAAGCCCCTCATTTTAGAAATGAGTATGAGGGCAGTGGGAGGGGCAGGCAGCTACTGTGGCTTGGATCTCAGCCTCTACCCAGAGCTGGGCCTTTAGCACAGCTGCTGCCTGCCTCCCTACATCTGCTGCCTCTTCATGCTGCATCTCTCCACTGTAGCCTCTTCCCCCTTTGCCATGTAGCTTCTGCACCCCTGCCTGCTTCTCATTCTCCACCCTTACCCTTGCTCCATGCCAGCAGGCTCTGTCCAAATTGTAACCTGGGACACTGAGTCTGGCCGCAACTGAGCTCCATAGCAGTAGTGTGCAGCTTGAATGACTGCTACAGGGGCTAGGCTAGAGCCATGCTCCATGCCCCAAGCTAGAACAGGGACAGTAGCCTGCCAACAGGGATCACAAGAGTGGGGAGGGCAGAGGCCGGTGGGGGGAGGGAGAGCAGAGGCTGAGAAGGGAGCGGAGGCAGGAGGGGAGAAAGAGGAGAGAGTAGAGAGGGAAGGTGCAAGACTATAGGGGGACTGGTAGGTGTCAGAGGTGGCAGAGGCAGGCACAAGTACCTGCTTCCCCACTGCTTGCCCCCCTGCAGCGGTGGGAGGATGAATTAAAGATGACCCTGCAATAATTACATTCTATATATGGAAAATTATAATAAATGTATACATTTTCTATTTATAGAATCTAATTATTGAGGTATCATCTTAAATTCCTGGTCATCTTAGATTTGAGTGAATACAATATATTAAGTGTATGTTTTGTTATAGGCTGCCATGATTTCAAATTCAATTTAAAATAGGCTTATTTTTAAAAATAAAATTAATAAAAAGGAAAATTTAAATAAAAACTTATTTTTTAAAAATTTATTTGAAATCATGGATGGTTATCTGTCCTGATATATCTAGTTTTTCTTCTGTACTTTGCTTTCCTATCTCTTTTGTTGCACCCATGGTAGCAACCTTGGCATAGGTTTTTCTGTATTCCTTTCCATTGCCATGTCTTTCTACAAAAAAGGGCATAATTTCTGAGCTTTTCCAAAAAGGCATCACATATACTCAGATCTCCTGTCAAGGCTCACTTATCTCATGATTTCTCATGAAGTAATGAACTAATAAAGGTAAAGTTGAAAGGCATTTAACCTTTGTTTGTGTCTTTAGATTGATGAAGGTTCTTCATGATTACACATGACTTAACATCACAGGAGCATCTGGAAGCAAAAAATAAAACTAATCATGCTAGATTTTTATTCTGAAAATGAAAATTATCCATTTACTTTTAAAATGAGAACATCAGTTTAAACCTGACTTTTTCTATCCCTAGATATGTCATTCTGTTCTGGTTATAAGTAAGAAAACCCAAGAACAATTATACATTTATATATATAAAGAAGGATTCCCTCTTTTCTTTTTGCTTGCATGTTATACGTTTTGTATATTTCGCTAGTTCAGTTATTTTCCCTGTTCTCATAGCTTTCTCATACTTCTGTACTAAAACTATTTTTAACTTGAGGTCATCAGGTCATTAGATTTTAATCTGACCACACTTTATTTTCTGTGGTCTCGTTGCATGCTATGAATTCTCTTTAATGGATTTTTTTTGTTTGTTTTTTTCTGCAGAGAAATAACCTCTTGGATCTTATGTGGTGAGATGCATCTTTGGGATGGATTATCATTTCAAACACGTTTTCTGTCTACCAAGTGGCAACAGGATATACCCTGCATATGACAGAGAGAAAATTTTGAATGTCTGTATTGCACTACAAAACTGCTTTAAGAACATCTAAATTTCATGCCAGTAATCTACATGCCAGGAAAACTTTGTAGCCTGTTAATAACATACATGCTTTTTATTGTTAAGAAAAAGGATTTTTTAAATGTGTTTGTTTTCATTCAGCACTGACTTTCTACACTGAAATCATGAAGATCAGTGAAGAAAAACAGAAGAGTCTCTAAAGCCTATGTGTCAAGATGACCTCTGAGGAAAAGGCAGCTTCTGTGCTTGTGTCTGTGGTACAGGGTAAAGTGATATCTGCTCAGTCAGCTGGAGATGAAAATAGTGAAAATGCTTTGGACACCAGTGTTATAAAAAGACATATTGCTAGTCAAGGAAGGCAGACTACACGCAGTCTCTCGTACTTGCACAGACTTGAAGAAGAAAATCTTCGGGGCTCACTGCCCAAAATTTTTTCTTTGGCAAATGAAAAAATGACTGATAACAGAAGCAATGAAAACTTCTGGGAGAGAAATGCATGCATCCCAGGTTCAGTGGAGTTTCTTAATATTAACTGTAACATTATAGAGAAAAGCAAGAACAGTATTCCATGTAACCAGTTATATAAATCATGTGATTCTTTAGTAGGGGAAGACATGTGCTTGGAAACTGGAATTTCTACTTCACTGGAAAGAACTATGTTTGCTGAAATTCAGTTGAAAATGGATGGACCTTCAGTAGAGATGAAGTCATTAAGAAACCAGTCAATAGTAAATAAAAGTGACACAGATGATGCTGATGATGTAGCAGTTTTCCACTTTCACTATGCTAATGAAAGAAATATATCAAGAGCTCTGTGTGCATTGCATGACAGCTTCATTTTGGATGACCACTTACAGCCAGTAGATCTTGGCAAAGATCACATGAGTGATTCTGCAAGTTGTACTTGTAAGTTAATGGAATTGGCAAGTAATTCTAAATATAAAAATGGACAAATGCTTTGTGGTAACTTTGACCCTTTAAAAGATAAGTATTTATGTTTAGAAAGAGCACGAAAAGTTAAAGTGGCATGTTCAGATCACAGTTTCTGTGGAAATAACTTTACTGGAAGAATGCTCTCAAAGCCTTTTCTGAGTCATTTTGAAGATTGTAGTGATGACTGTGATGAAGAGTTGGAGGAAGATTTCTTTAGAAATAAAAAGGAGCGTTCTACCTTACTAATAAGACGGTTTTGTAAAAATGATAAGGAAATTAAAAAATCAGTGTATACTGGAACAAGGGCAATTGTTAGGACTTTACCCTCCGGGCACTTAGGAGCTATTGCTTGGAATTTTGTTGAACAGAGGAGAAACAGCAATGGTTTGAAGCATTGTAGGAGTACAACGGAACGTTTAACAATAGTTCAAGCCTTAATAAGACAGAAATTTAATTCCCATCTTGTGAAATCCATATGGTGTGAGGTAAGCTATTTTCATGTTATTTTTTTTCCTTCTATAATCGTATTCTGTTCCTGATGATCTGTTATTTAACAAAACTTTTACATGTTTTATTCATGCGGCTCTTGAAGTGTATATTGGAAACTACCTGATACAGAAAGCTCTGAAAAAAATTGTTATAACACTACTATTACTAATGCAAGAACAAATTTTAATTGAGTAGCACTGAGATGTATTTTATACATACTAGTTTTCTCTCTCGTCCTAAGAAGCTCTATTATTGCTTAAAAATTGTCATAAAAATTGCTAATTCAGGAGTGAATTAAAAGGATAAACCTTTTATTTGTGTTTAAAGGTTTTTGTTTTAAATGAACCATTGATATTCTTAATATCTTAAAAACATGAAAAGATAGTATATAATTTTGATGTATTAATATTGATTTATACATTGATAACTTCCAAAGTTTGAATTGATAGAGAATGATGTTATGACAATACAGTGAAGAAATACAGGTTGGATCAAAAGGTATCTCATGTTAGGGTTTCCTTTTGCTTTAAAAAAGTTAAATATTTAACCTGCATTATCAACATTTATAGACTGATTCTACAGATATAAATAATACTTATTTTTATGATTTACATCATGACAGTTGCGTATTACACATTGACGTGATATAATTGTCCTAACTTAGGTTCTCTTGAGTAAATAATTCCATGCATATTTAAAGCCTCAAAATGTTGATGTCAAAGTGATGTCCCATGTACCAGATTATTTTGAATAAAAACACAAAGTGCTTCTAAATCTTTAAAATTCTCCTGTTCCATGACAGTAAGAATGGAATGAGACGTTACCCTTGATGATGGAATTTATAAAAAATAGCTGTTTTTCATACTGACAAAATAGCAATTTAGCATTACACTGCTTTTCTTTGGCATCAGGTGCAAGCAGCCTCTTATGTTATATTTGTAGGATATTTTGTTTTAACTTTACAACTATATGCTTGCCATAACACTTAAAACAGTTGTACACAAGCATGCTTTAAGAGCTTGTAAATTAACTTGTACTTTATTGATGAGGGCATTACACTGGTCTGTTTAGCATAGGCTGTTTTCATACCATTTAATTTGCAGTATTTTGTAACTTGGAAAATATATCAAAGGTGTAAGAACTTTTATGAAATGTATTTTCCATTTTGAAGTTCTTCCTGACTCTCCTGTTTGCCTAGACAGCTGTCATTTTAACATTCATTTTGGATAACTGATTCTGGCAGAATGTCAGAAAGCAATGTGAGCAAGAACAGCAAGTGTATCTGAAGATTTGTGGAACCCTGCAACCAGACACAGGCAGAACCATGACTACTCAAAAGATAAACAATAAACTCTTGGTAATTCACCTATGGGATAATTTGTCACTAAGATTTAATTCTTTCCTTTTCCAGTTTCTTACTAGTGTTCTTCTCCCCATTTCCCATATATATCTACCTTCCAACTTATATATGTCTATACATTGATATCTATAGATATGTATATCTATAGATCGGGGACAGGCAATTATTTTGAGTGGAGGGCCGCTTAATGAGTTTTGATGAGCTGTCGAGGGGGCACTAGAAGACATGACAGCAGTGCTGTCCAAAGGCCAGCTGTGCAGGCATGGCTCACTGGCAGCTGGCCCAAAAGTACAGGAGGCTCTGCTGCAGTGCCCATACCACAGCCAAGGTGGCTGTGCAGTCCCTGTCCAGGTCTGGCAGGTGTGCAGCCATGAAGCGGCATGTTGTCACAGGTGACAGCAGGTCACAGCCAGGCAGCAGCCCCCACTGCCAGACTGCTGCAGTGGGTAGAGTGTGCAGGGGCCACTCTAGTTTAGGGCTGCTTCAGCAGTTCAGTTGGCACAAGGAGCTAGTGTCCCCAGATACCAACTGGCCAGGCCTCATAAGCTCCTGTTTATTTGCATCTTCCAGAGACTGTGGGACTTAAGGCCCACCTAGTTAACTAATAGCCCCCAGTGTGTGGGGCCAGAGTTTGAAAGATACAACTGATACTTTTTAAATTTTTTTTGGTGAGACAACTAAGGAAGAAAAGGGTAGGAGTGACGTGGGGGGTCAAATGATGTGGGATGTCAAAGGTTCAAAAATTGAAAAGAAGTTCTCTGGAGGGGTACACCTAGCAGAGCCCCTTCCTACCCGCCCGGGTCACACCCACTGGTCCTCAAAGGCATCCAAGGAGCCGGTGGATGCTGCCCACTGGTGCTCTACCTGGAAACATGCACGGACAAGTGAGAGGAAAGTGGCCCTGCTGTCTCTGGGCACCTTCCCGAGCAGAGCCTCCTTCCTGGTCAAGTACAGGGCCTACTTGGCCAGGGCCAGAAGGAGGTTGATCAGGAGGTCCCGGGACTTGGTGGGGCTGTGGATGGGGTGACCAAAAACAAAAAGGTGGGGGGTGAAATTCAACTAGAACCTCAGAAAGTGGTTACGGAAGTGGAGGGGCTGCAGCCTCAAGTGCAGCCTGGTGCACTCGAGGTACATCAGCTCCTTTTCCATCTCTGTTGTTTCCAACTGATGAGCTACCTCCTAGTCTAGAGCAGGTAACTAAAGGCTGGCCAAACATGTTTTTTATTGGAAAGGCAAAGATGTAGAAATGTTTGCATTTATTTCTAAAAATAGAAACACCCTAGGCACCACCCCAAAACTTAAACCTTTTTGCTGAAGTTCTTCTCAAATAAAAGAATCTTACAGTACTTCTGGAAAATGTCCAGACTTGGACTCTGATGAAGCACAAGGGGAAGGAAGTTCCAGAGCTGAGGAGTGACTACAGAGCCAAGTCAACTTGTTGCACAGATGGTATTTTATGTGGTTGTTCTCAGCTAACCTTAGGAATCACAAAAGAACATGGAGAAGGCAGTCCTGTAGTTATTCAGGGTCTTATAGGTCAAAACCAGCATCATGAATTATACCCAGAAAGCTATTGGAAGCCAGTGCAGACTAGAATACTGGAGTAATGTGCACCTAGTGTGGGTGTCCTCCCTCTCCGTAAACTGAGAAGGTAATCTGCCACATTCTGCACCACTTGCAGCATCCAGACAGTCCTCAAAGTCAGCCTGACATAGAGCACATTGCCCTAGTCTAGCCTTAGCATTAGGAGAGCATGAATGATGGTGGCAACATCTGAATCTAAAAGAAATGTTCACAGCCTTCTCACTATTTGGAGTTAGTGAAAAGAGTTCCTAACTGTTGCAGCTTCCAAGGACAGTTCTTCTAGTTTTGCTGCTACAGGTTCACCAATGAGTAAAAGGAAACAAATAGAAATCAAATATCTTTTTTTTTACCGTCAGTTGGCTGGCCAGTTCAACTGACAGGGGATAAATCTCAGGGTACACAAATCCAAAGCTTTCCTGAAAACATATACCCTTATCTGTACATTATTTTTTGACTCACACAATCACAGGCCAACATATTGATGCATACAGCTAAATATTTCTTTTTCTTGCATATCAGTGCATTACCATTTCAATCCATTTTCCACATTCTTGGACTGTCTGGTCAACTTCCAAGTTACTGAGGAAGTTGCACCTTGACTGAGAATATTTACAGTCAGTCCTAACCATTTAACGTTTGGATATCTCCCACTCCTTCCAGGATATTCAACACATCCTCATTACATTCACAGGGTGGTTTTGACCATCCTAAGGCAATCGATACTAACCACTGATGCAACCTGAGAATCTAGATGCAGTAAAGGATTCAGGATCACCTCAAGGCTGTAAACATGAGTGACAAGGGGAGGCTGCATCTCACTGGTGATGTGTGTCCCACATGACTTTCTTGTAAGTAAATTGGATAAATGTGGGCTAAATAAAATTACTAAAATGTGGATATTGTTTCAATCACTGTGGGCAAGGGTCATCATAAATGGATAAATGTCAAAATTTTGAGTGGGGTTCCACAGGGGGTTGTCTTGGCTCCAGTGTTACTTAACATTTTTATTAAGAATTTTGATGCTGAAATAGAACTTCCTGAGCAAATTTTCAGACAACATAGAACTGGGAAGGATTGCAAATACATTGGAGGATAGGAATGGAATTCAGAAGGCTCTAGAGAAATTGGAAATCTGGGCTAGAGACAACAGGATAAGTTCAGTGAAATGAATTGCAAGGTGCTACATTTGGGAAGAATAATCAAAAGCACAAATACAGAATGGGAGGAAAGTAGCTGGATGGCAGCATTGCTGATGTTGGAATTTTGGTGGATCACAGACTCAGCAAGAATCAGCAGTGTGATGTAGTTTTAAAAAATCAAATGCAGTTTGGGCACTAACTCCAGCTAGTGAGAACTGGAGTATTAGATGTAAGACACGGAAGCTGAGTGCCACTATACATCTAGAATGCTTCATTCAGTTCCTGGCTCCACATTTAAAAAAAGACATGAATGGGTTAGAGAGGGTCCAGGGGCAGGTGACAAAAATGATCAAGGGGTTGAAAGGCAAGCTGTGTGAGGAAAGGCTGAGAGAACTAGGCATGTTTAGCACTGAATAAGGTAGGGATGTGATATCAGTCTTGAAATATCTCAAAGGTTGCTGCCATAAAGCAGGAGAAAAACTTTTCTTCCTTGCTGCAGAGGGTAGGATGCAAAGCAATGGCTTCAAATTACAGCAAAGTATATTTAGATTGGATATCAGGAAAAACTTCCTATCAGAATAGTAAGGTGTGGAATAGATTGCCCAGGAAAGTTGTGGAATCTCCTTCATTGGAGATTTTCAAGAAGATGTTGGATAGGTATTGGTTAGAAATGATTTAGGAGGAGCATTTTTGCATTTGTGCAGGGGGTTGCACCAGGTGAGTTCCCTTCCAACCCAATGATTCTGTGAATAACAGGGTACAATTTCCCCTTAAAGAACATCAGCACCCTCCCTCCTGAAGGGGGCATTGGCAGCCCACACCAGCAATGGCCCCAATTTCTCTCAGCTGGCTCTTCCAAGCCAGGATGGGTATGGGTTCAGTTCACAAGGGATGCCCACATATCCCTGAGCAC